TATACATGAGTTCGCCCTCCCTCTCAGACTATGTTCGCATAAATATGCTAAGTCGAATTCGTTGTTAATTTAATTTCAATAAAAATCAATGATAAAACTGACGTTAAGCGAAGCAGATGTATAATAGGCTTTGTCCACTATTCTTAAGAAATGTCACATTTTCAAATTTCACATATTGGTGTTCCATCGGTTGTCGGTAACATGTGAGTTGAAAAAGTACCGCTTCTTTAAATAAACAGGTGATCGAGTTGCTTTGATTAACCTAAGCGCCGCAACATTTTCCTTTCAAAAGTCAAAAAACATTACCTCGAAGTAGGGGCTTCATTTATTGGACTCTTTGCGGGATTTGGCCATCTTTAAATATTAAAAACTGTGGGATTATTAAAATTTAAAATTATAATTCAAAGTTACCGCTAATGACACTTTAACATTTTTCATAACATCAATAGTAAACTCGATAAATCATCGCAAAAATCACGAACGGTTCTAGGCGTACTTACTAATTTTTGTTAAACATACAGGCCGCATTTTACACATTTTGCAAAAATGTGACATTTTAAGAAATGTGTAAGAAATGTGATCAGTGGAAAGGGCTATAAGTCATTTCTACATCATTGCAAATGCAGTCACTGTGGCTGATCGGTATCCGATCCCTTAAGCACTTGATCTCCCTGAGCAGCAAGATAAAATAATTTTTTTGACACTAGATATCGTATAAAGTACCTATGGCAGAAAGTGACATTCCAAAGACAGCGGAAGCTACTCCTTTTGGACTTGTTCAATTACGCAGACTTTCCAAAGGTTACTGAATGACATTTTTCGGGGCATTAGATATGAGTCATGTCCAATTCACTTACAGAACATGAGCAACATCTTCGCACCGTCCTACAGATTCTGGGGGACCACGGCCTTTCCATCAACCTGAGCAAGTGCTTACTTTCGCAATCAGAAGTAGACAGTGACATTCCAAAGACAGCGGAATCTACTCCTTTTGGACTTGTTCAATTACGCAGACTTTCCAAAGGTTAATGAATGAAAATTTTCGGGGCATTTGATATTATTCATGTCCAATTCACTTACAAAGCATGAACAACATCTTCGCACCGTTCTACAGATTCTGGGGGACCACGGCCTTTCCATCAACCTGAGCAAATACCAACTTGCGCAATTAGAAGAATAATTTCTCCGTGTACGTTTGCAAATTGGTGACAAAGTCATTAGAAAGGGAGTACTGTGGCGGCACTGATTTACGCCATATATTGTTGGTGGCCTAACTTATTGTAAACTTTATTCTAATTGATATCGAAAGAGCTAAGCAGATTGGGATCCCTGTCCTCTCTCACTCTCATCCCTACTTTCTGGCGAAATAGATTTTGGAATAATAAAGAATTTCAAAGATCAGTTATTAACTCTGTTGGAATAATACAACCCTCTCATTGGTGACTCTCACGAGATCTGAACACGAAGGACGATCACTAATTTTTCCAAAATGGTCCTTTACTTATGAAAGTGTGCATACACACACCGACACACACACGCACGCTCGGATAGACGGCGCCTTACGGAAGAGGTGCCTCTAGTAGACGGAAAGATTCTGAATGCCATTAACCTGGCAATGGCCAGATCGATTCCGTTCCTGGGTAATTAAAGCAACTCGTGACCTCCGGCCAGGGATCCACTGAACACTGCACACCCGTGATGCGCCTAGCTAAAACGAGAAGGCGACTGAGACTGGGACCAATAACGTCTAAGGTTGCGAACACTGGACAACCCAATAGGATTAGACGATCCCCGGGCTGATGGCTGACAGTATTCTAGCATCTCAGTAAGCGGTGTGAAATCTGGCCGAAATGACTGCTAGGCTAATGCTGTTACCTCCCTCATCCCGTTAAAACATGGCAAATCTCAAAACACGCTCCTCGACTCGTCGCCATTTAGTTGGCAGTATAGGTTCAGATGTAATATTCCTGATTAACGGGGATCTGGCTCTGAACACTCGACCCCAAGAAGGCGGGTGTCAACCCTCGCATGGCCTCACTGCTTGCAAAGACAACCATGAGATCAAAACGCGACTGTACAACAACCGAGGACAACGGCTTTGGAGTTGGGACCCAACAAACGACTGCTTTTGCAAAGAGCAGCAGAATGGATCGTCAGTAGGTGTAGCAACAGCTGTCACCTGTGAGACGACCTTTAAGCGGGATAAAACGACGGCAGCTCAGAGGAACTTAGAGAACCCGGGGACGAGATCTCGAAACTGGTAGATAAGCTCGAAAATGGCAAGCGACCCTCCATCCACCAGCTCGTGCGAGACTCAATAGAGAGCTTCACGACGAAGGAGCAAAGGAGGTTATTAGGAAGCATCAGTCCCCACAAACCTCGCCTCTGTTTAGGACGACGGCGGATGTCAAGCGGGAGTAGGCCACGCCACGAACGCCCCAGACAAAAAGAATCCGAGGACCAGTCGGTAGTCAGGCTGCCGTATCAAGCGTATCACCGATCCCCAAAGGAGATGGCGATAAATGGAATGAGGTCACCCAAAAGAAAATGCAGAGGTCCGGACGTTGTCCCACCGAGTATCGATACTATCGGCCACCTTGCAAGACACTGCAAGAGCGAGCTGGACAGATCAAATCTTTGCCGTCGATGCGGAGGAAAGGACCAACTGGCTAAGGACTATCAACAAGACTGTCAACAGTGCATGCTCTGCAAGGATAGGAATACCGACTCCAAACAATTTTCCGGCAGCGGTAGATGCCCCAGTTTGGGAGCGCCCTGGCTAACAGAAAATAAAGTTCACACAGCTGAACCTCAACCATTTCGAGGCTGCTCAGGCCCAGCTGACGCAATCAATATGGGAGAGAAAGACTGACTTCGCAATAATCTGCGAGCCATACAAGCGTATCGCTGGAAGTGGCTAGGCGGCAAGTAAATGCGGAAAAGCGGCCACTTTGTTCCTTAAATCACCGCTCCAGGAAGTCAAAACAGCACAAGACCTATTCGTGAGAGCGAAAAATAATGGAATCACCGTTTACAGTTGCTATGCACCCCCAAGCTGGGAGCTGCGGCGGTTCCAACACATGCTGGAGGAAATATCAGAAGACGCTCGCAACACAGTTCCCTTCGTCATAGCCGGGGACTTTAATGCCTTGGCCGTGGAAAAGGGATGCAAGGAAACCAACGCAAGAGGGATCACGCTGCTAGAAGAGTTCGTGGCAATCGACTTGGGCCTTGCAAGCGACGAGTAGGAGCTTACGTACTGCAAGGTCGGTAGAGGCTGTATTATAGACCTCACCCTGCTCAGCAGCTCACTTTATAGGCTAACTAGGACGGAGAAAACAGCAGCCCAAAACAACAGGCCCCAAATGGAAGGACAACTGCCTAGACGAGGAAACCTACACGGATTCTCTACGCAATGCTCAATGAACTTGGATCACGAAGTCAGCAGAAGGCATGACGCGGCAGCTCATGGAAAACATCTCACACACGTGCGACTTACCCATGTCCAGAAGGATGCCAAACAGAAAAGGAGCACCTTGCTACAGGTGGAACGAGGAAATCAGTGACCTACGGAAGGCCTGCCTACGTGCGAGAAGGAGCTCTCAACGAGACCGAGGCCGCTCAGACTTTGCATCTAGGCTGGAAGACCTGCGGGCAGCGAAGCGAGATCTCAAGAGAAGCATTAAACAAAGCAAATCCAGCTGCTTCCAGCAAATATGAGATGAGGCCGATGTAAGCCCGTGGGGCACGGCATAAAAGGTCGTCACGGCGGGACCCGCGTGAACCGCCCTACCGCATTTGCCACTATAGTTGAGGCACTGTTCCCCCAACACCCACGATTGGAGGTCGTCAATTGCTCACGCAGCACGGAGCTTGTGCAGCAGGTGTCGGCAGACGAAGTGGTAGTGGCAAACAAAAAACTAGGCAAGAAAAAGGGACCAGGACCAGATGGAGTGCCAAACAAAGCGCTTAAGTCAGCCAAGCTGACGAAACCTGACGCCTTCGCCGAGACATACACTAGATGTTTACAGGACGGTGTATGGAAGCGGCAGAAATTAAACCTTCTACCGAAAGGGAACAAGCCAATAGAGGAACCCTCGGGGTACAGGCCAATCTGCCTACTGGACACGGCGGGAAAGGTCCTGGAGAGGATCGTGTACAACCGACTACTAGAGAGATAGAGTCCCTGTCCCAACCGCAATACGGATTTCGCAGGACAAGGTCTACGGTCGACGCAATCAAGGCGGTGGTTGATATTGCTGCTAAAGGAGGTGGTGAGACAAGGAGTATTGAGCGGTGGTTACGTTGGCCATCCGAAATGCATTCAACTCAGCAAGCTGATCCCGCATACTGGGAGCCTTAGACCGAACAGGGATACCGACCTCCCTTTTCGGTATAATATCAAACTCCTTGTCCGATCGGGTATTGAGCTATGATACGGAAGACGGTGCTAGGAGTTGCATGGTCTCAGCCGGAGTCCCACAGGGGTTGAACATAATGCAATGTTGAAAATAATGTACGACGAGGTGCTTAGGGTGCAATTGCCCCAGGGATGCAGAACCATAGGATTCGCAGATGACCTGGCTCTAGTAGTGGTGGGCAAATAGATAAGTAGAAGCGGCTGCGAATGCAGCCATAAGGAACGTGGTCAGCTGGATGCGTGGCGCTAGCATGGAGCTGACAGGCCATAAACCAGGCTGTGCTTATCACAAGCCGCGAAATAATTGAGTTTGCTAGATTTTAGGTGGACAGCGTAAGTATCGGGTCAAAGGCCTCTATCAAGTGTCTGGGGGTCATGTTAGACAACAGTCCTGGTTTTCGACCTCACGTAGATTATGTTAGCCAGAAAAAGCCAAATTGAAGGCGGCCCTTTCGAAGACCCAAAATAGAGCAGGCAGAAGTCTACTTCTCGTAGAGACTCGGAGACGTAGCCTCTAGTGCTCTATGCTGCTCCGATATGGGCATTAGCGGTTGCAAGCCAGAAAGGCCTCCGAAAGAAGATGTCAGTCCCCTACAGGCTCAGCGCACTCCGCGCTATTTCTGGATTTCGGACGGAGTCGGACGAGGCAGCCACAGTATTGGCGGGAATGCTCCCAGTAGATATATTGGCCAAGGAAATTGAGAAAAAATACATAGCCCGAATAGCGATGGGCGATGCCATCTCAATGGACGTCATCCGAAGTTCGGAGAGAGCAGCATCAATGGCAATTTGGCAGGAAAGATGGATCACAGCGAACAAGGGGAGATGGACACACAAACTAATCCCCAATCTGGAGCAATGGACTGGGAGACGGAATGGAGAAATTAACTTTGTCCTAACGCAGTTCTTTTCTGGAAACAGCGTACAGGAAGTATCTCCAGAGGTTCAGGCACGGGAACACTCCATAGTGCCCGAACTGTCTAAATCTGGATGAAGACCCGGAACATGTGCTGTACCAATGCTCGAGGTACAGAGAGGCAGAAGGTTTTGAGGGACCTGAGGGACTGGTGACGTTCATGTTAAAAGGAGACGACATCCGGAGAAGTCTAAGCCAGCTCATTATAGGCATCTAGAGGGATCTGAGAATATACGAAAAGGAGCGACGAATAATGGAGACTGCCTAAAATAGGTAATACTTAGCGGTGATCCCGCGGGGAATGTGGGGTTTGAAAAACTGACGCTACAAAGCACGATTTATACACAAGACTCGCTACAAAAACCAAAAAGATTTTAATGGATGAGTCCAACAACGCCAGTAATATGCCCGGTGTTTCGGAGTAGATTCGAGAACTGCAGTGGCAAATCAATGCTCTGCAGATGGATGCATTTTTATCATAAGCTACGGTGGCGACTGTGCCGTTTGCGACCACATAACGCTTTGCAATTTATCTGCCAAATTTCACCTGCAACAACCAAAAATTGTCATTTGCTCACGTAAAACGATTGTTTTGTCTATTTGACATCAACAACGAAAATGACAAGTTCGATCAATTTCGTCAATTTGAGTGTTGATGTTATCTTGGTTGTAGCGAATTGGCAACTTGCCCTCCATCCAAAAACAAATACCAAGCAACAAGCTGCGACTATATCATTCGCACGCTGTTCCTCGCGGAGACGCCTCTCGATCTGGGAGGAAAATGATTAGGAAACTCGCCAAAATAGCATATAAAATGCTTGCCACAGTCAAAGCAATTGCTATTTTTGCTATCGGTCCCGACGCGCTGCCCATTACTATAAGTGCTGTTGCTAAATGACATTGCTGAATCCTTGCGTTCCCACTCGCGAAATTTAAAAAAGATTCCATAGAGTACTTGAGATGTCAAACGTCTGCAATCGGCTGACCGTTCCCGCGGCAAATCGCGAGATCAAATAAGCCACACTGCTCGACGACAGCAAAACAATTCACCCCGCAGCCACCTATATAATTGGAAAACCGTCTCCACATTACCGATCCCACAGTTTCTTATCGACTCCGTATCAGAGGTATCTGCAATACCCATTCAGTAGTTAGAGACAATACCAAACAAAGCGACTTACTCCAATATGAAGCAAATCATACGTTCATCCACACTTATGGTCTACATAGGGCACAGCTGAATTTGGGGCTTCTTCGCTGTCTCATATGGCCATTCATAGTTGCAGACGTTGGAACAGCTCTCATTGGTGCAGATTTGCTGGCCAAATATCAACTGCTCAATTATCTCAAAAACAAATGTCTCATCGACTCGATCACTGACCTTACAGCACCCGCATAACTTTCTACTATGAATCACACTTCTGTTTCAGCAGCACAAGTTGATATATCGGCGGAAGAAAATCTCCGAGTCGCCATGGGGTACGACACTTTATTGAAACCAACTAAGCTCAGTCTCGGATTGGGCGCGAAAAGCAAGCAATAAGTTCAATTTCTCAGCTACGTTATCAACGAACACGAAATGAAACGGCCCACTTCCTGAATTGACGCCATCTTCAACCATGCTCGTCCTCATGCCATCAGCCAACTGGGTCGGTTTCTTGGCATCATCAAGTAGTACCTTAGAAGCCGGCCACATTCGTCGCACACTCAGGCGCCCTTGGATAAGTTGCTAAGAAACGAAAAAAAATAACGACCAACGAAAGATTAAATCGACAACGCAACTCGTGGCTGCTTTCGATACGAACGCAGTGTGGCTGACGCTGCGATCCTGTCACATCCATTTCCAAATGCAAAACTTCCGCTATCGTGTGATGCGTCTGATGTTGCTATCGGAGCCACACTAGAGAAACAAGTGAATGACAGCCACTTGGTTTTTTCTCTAAGCAAATAAGCAACGCAGAAAAAAAACTACAGTACATACGATCGAGAACTACTGTCAGTATTTGAATCATCAAATATTTTAAATATTGGCTCGAAGTACGAATGTTTATCATCAAAACTGACGACAAGCCTCTGACATATGCTTCTAAGCAACGACCTGATAAAACCTCGCCTCGTCAACTTTGCTAGTTAAGTTTTATTTCGCAACAATTCAAAGCCAGCGTCCGTAAAGGTAGAACAGATAGAGGAAGCGCCAGCCGATGACCCACAACTAGACTTATAGCAAGGAAAGTCGTCACTTAAACTCCAAAAAGTTATCTTTTTTGGCATTATTAATCAATTCTGCCATGTTTCCCCGGGATACGGGCGTCCATATGAACCGCAAGCTCTACGATAGCAAGTGCAATCTTCCCGGACTCGCTATTGTTCGTACATAATCTTTCACATCCGAGTGTCAGGGAAACTCAAATTCGGCAGAAGTTTGGCATTGCAAGGCCAATGCGTGAAAATCAACGCACATACTCATCTTGTACCTGCAAAAATCATTGTGCCCAACGGCAGATTTGATCGTGTCATCGTGGTCATGCCACCGCATCAAAACTTTCGATATTGTCCCACCATGATCGATCGTTCTTTACGCTGGCCAGAAGCAGTTGAAACTGCTGAAACGATTGCCCGAGCTTTTTGGTCACAATATATCTCGCGATTTGGGCACCTAAAATCGTAAACACGGATCAAGGCACTCAATTCGAATCATCTTTGTTCAAGGAATTAGTTAATGTAGTCGATAGCGAACGCATAAATACCACTAGCTATCATCCACAATAAAACGAACTTCTTCTTGATCTTTGAAAGCAGCCCTGATGTGCCACTCGGACACTCCATGGACTCAACTTCTGCCAGTCGTGCTTCTAGGACTCCGCACGTGCTACAAGCAAGACACAAGGTCGTTCAACGTCAGAGCGATAGAGTTTACGAGATCAACGGCAAGAAAGTTGCAGTTTCGGTAGATCGACTTAAAACTGCATTTATTACCAACGAGGGCACCTACGAAGAGCAGTTCCGTGTACATTAGAGAGGGCGGCACTGTAATATTGTTGTTGCTGGCGTAACTTAATGTTAATTGATATCAAAGGAGTTTAGCAGATTGGTATCCCTGGCCCTTCTCATTCTCATCCCTTCTTTCTGGTGAAATAGATGATCCAGCTAGCGACAGCTCAAGCTTCGTAGATGTATAAATATGGAATTATAAAGAAAAACATAGAATATTAATAAACTCTTTTGGTGTAAATGCAGTGGTTTTTAGTATGTTAATTAATTTGAAATGTCGTATGTCTGTAAACACTTTCCCTGAAAATAGTGTTCGTTTACCCGAACCTAGGTACTAGCACCCTTTTTGTAATCTTCTTGTTTGGGCTACAGCCAACCCGCAAGAGCAATCGCAACGGCCGAAGAGCGTATATTATAAGAGAGCGCATGAAAAGAGCGAGTAACGAAAATGCATCTGTGCCTAGATCAGCCGCATTGAGTGATGTCTTATCACTCAATGGATCGCACTCACGGTTGAGTGGAATTTAGTGGCTCTCTCAAGAGCCCTGTTACTTTAAGTTATCTTACTTTCTTGTATTTTGTAATTCTATTGAGCTTTGAATTTGCTAGCATAGTAACAGCGGAGTTTGCGACACATTTCGAAGTCTGTGAGCGTCAGTCCAAGTCACCGGACGTATTCTCTGTGTAGGTCAATTTACTTAATATAAAAGTTAGGTTAAAATTCAATAAAAGTTGAAGTCTTTTAAAATGAATAACCCCGCTCGTGAACTGGGACTCTCTTTCTAAATCTCAACATTCGCAACAATCGTGCAAAAACCTCAAAGCCGCCTCGGTTGGTAACCACGCCACTTAATTGAGAGGGTGAGTACAATTTGACACTAACGTGTTAGGTTAGGTGATCAGAATTGCCGAAAACCTCATGTATTTAAGTTTTGAGCAAACTGCACTGTTGACCTCGTTGGAGAAATCACTGAAAAAATACAAAGCTGATGAATCGGTACATACGGAAACCCAGCTGGAAGCCAGGCTCGAATCGCTGGTAGAAATTACCGCAGAATTTAAACGCAACCATCAGCAGCTTGTACGAGTGCGAGACAACGAGGAGATTAAAACAAGGTATTTTGATCCGGCAATCAGGGATGTGTTTGAGGAGACCTACATCGTGAAAGTAGCAGAATTACGTAATGAGGTGCATGAACACAAGGAGCAAAGACATCCGACATCTACCGCATTCAATGAGACGTGTTTGTATCAGACTATGAATGAACAGTGTATAACCCATATAGAGGAAGTGAAGCTGCCCACGGTTAGCCTACCAACTTTCAGTGGTAAATTCATAGATTGGCCGGCATTCCAGGAGGTGTTCCTATCGCGTGTCCATCACTGTCAGAGACCAACTGACTTACATCGCTTTCATTATTTAAAGGATTCGCTATCAGAGGAAGCTGCTAAAGATATAGAGCACCTGACTTTGATAGAATCGAATTATCCAGTGGCATGGAGAATGCTGCTGAGCTTATATGACAATAAACGAGTATTGTTTTCACATTACATGGATGTTTTTGATCATCAATTAGCAGTTCAACATGGAGACGCCGAGTGTCTAAGGTGGTTTGTGCAGACCTGTCGCTCATGTGTGAATTGGTTGGAGAAAGCTGGAGTTGATATAAAACAGTAATCTCAAGTTTTGGTATATTATATGATGAGAAAGCTACCTCAAAAATTAAGAGTAGATTGGGAAGAGCTTTGTGTTTTCCTCGAGTCTTAATATCGAACGATGATTACGGCATCGACGGGAAGTTGCGAGGAAACGCAGCCAATAGATAGCCGCAGGAATAAAAAAGCAAGGCGTATATGGCTTACGTGCAATCCAAAGAGACGCAAAAGCTTCATTTATTACTCGACAAGCGGACATATGAATCGTCTGCGGAAATGTGGAGCACCCAGTTGGAACTTGTAATGTATTCAAGGAAATGAGTGCGTCGGATCGTGAGGCAATTGTCTTGAAACATCGGTTATGTTTTAAGCGTCTTAGTCCGAATCATCAAGCAGCTGCATGTGGCAGCTCGCGAAATTGTTCAAGGTTC